AAAAATATTTATTCACAAAAAACTATAAATATTTAACGAATATTTATATTCATTCAAACAAAATATAAACTGAAAAAACGCTCCAATAAGCAATTGTTACCCTTTAACTATAATCGGCACTTTGATGATTTTTTTTTAAGTAAAAAAAAAAGGAATTTTATTAATTTTTGTCATTGTAATATTCAGATTTTAGAAGGAAATTTAGAAATTTTGAAAAATATTTTAGAAAGCAATATATTTTTTATTAAACGATTAAATACATTGATGTAAAAGGAATTGTCAAATGTGAGCAGACACGAGTTGTTCATGTGCAGGGATTGAAATGTCTGTATCACATTTTTTAATATACACATTGGATTACATACGAACAACTGGTGTCGGCTCACATTTGGCAATTCCTTTTACAACGTATTTAATCGTTTAATTTATTTGGAGAGCCTTTCGTATTTTTAATTTTACTATATTTTTTATTTATAAATATCTATTTGATAGAGCGCCATAAATATTCCGATATATTATAATTCCGATTACATCACAATAATGTTATAAACATTTTATAAGGTATTTTGGGCATGTCGTTTATTATGGTCTGTGGACATTAAATTCAGAGATATATTATTTATTCCCAATAAAAATGTCTTTGTTTAATCTATAGATTAAACAAGGACGCGTATAGGTCGTGGATTAAACACACGATGTAATCATAGCCATCGTTTTTATAAATTTTTGTTTCTTTTGCAGGCTTGCAAGCTATGTGCAGATAATACAGAGTAAAAGTGAATACGAAATGAAAATATTCGTAATCATATTAAAAAAATATTCATTCAAATGGAATGAAAAAATATTTATTCGTTTATTGATGAATAAAAAAGAAGTATATTTGAATGTGAGTATTTTCATTCATTTTTTATTCATTTATTCGAATATTAGATGTATTCACCGGACACACTAATGTTAACAATCAGTTTGATCGTCCTACATAATTATTTTGATAGTTCAACGAAATTATTTTCTGTATCATAGCTAAATTTTTAGATACTTTAGCAAAACCGTTCTTTCCATATACCAATCAACGTTAATCGAATTCACTCCAACTCTCCATAAGTTAACGAGAGTTGGCTCTTCTTTTATCTTGCTGACACGGTACCTCTCGACAGACGAGAGGAAGAGGCGTGAAGTGGATGAAGTGCTTCGGGGTCTAAATGTTAGCCTTCTTATCGAGAGTGAATGACGTTTAAAATAATATCCCGGGCTAGACGCCTCGCATTGGCCGTTTATCTCGAACCACAGAAACTCAATTCCATCCACCAATGAAGTTATGGAAGTTCGCGCCGGTTAGAGTAGCGACGCAGAATCCGGGCGGCGCGCGGAGCTGCCGTGAGAAACTATCGCGTACCGCCGTCTCCGAACGACGTAAGGCTAGTTGCTATTATCCACCGAGTGCGAAATCGATAATCCGTTTCGCTCACAGGGACACATTCAAACTTCCTCGCAATTCACATAATTAGTCGGCGAATGTTGCTCCGTGCAATTGCGGCTCGCCGTCGATTGGAAACGTATGCTTATTGTGCGCGTTCTTGCAAAGTGTACACACAGAAAAAACAGTTTTGTGTGTTGAGTATCTATGAATTTAGTTAGATACAGATCTGAAAATAATTTTATTGGACTATCAAAATAGTAATGTAGGATGCTCAAATATGAGTAATGCCATGCAAAAAATTTCAATATTCCAAGAACCAGTTTGAGTGTCTTATACTATAATACTATATGTATACTAATTTTAAATTCTACATAATTATTTTTATGGTCCAACAAAATTATTTTTATGGTCTAACAAAATTATTTTTAGATCGGTATTTAACTAAATTTTTAGGTATTTCAGCAAAACTGTTCTTTCCATGCACAGAAAGAATGATTTTGCTAAAATATTTAAAAATGTAGGCAGATACAGATTTCAAAATTATTTGGTTGGACCATTAAAATAATTATGTAAGGTGTTCAAACTGGTTGTTAGAATATCAAAACTTTTTGCAGAGCATTGCTCATCGTGCTTGAGATTATTACATAATTATTTTAATGATCCAACAAAATTATTTTCAAATATGTATCTTGCTAAGTTTTTAGATACTTCGACGAAACAGTAATTCTCGTGCAAGTAAATAAAACGCCATATTTTGCCATATTTTTTTATACGATGCGAAATCAAGACGCAAATTCGAACGCACGAAGTTGCAAATGGTTAATATTCAATATTCACGATTCGGACTTAAATTATATTATCAATTATTATGATTGATTTTTCCTTCTTTTTGATTCGTTTCAATCTTTTATTTTCTATTTTACCCGTTTGAAGATAATAAGTCAATGCAAGATAATGAGCAACAAAAGAAAAAAAATTGTGAAAGTATTTCGTGTTGTTTTGCTTCCTTTTACATTCATACTGAAAGTACTTATGCGCGTTCGCTGTTCGTCCATTGTTCATTCGTTTGATGTATATCTATCTTAATAGCTCTTAGATTCGACATACTTACTCACGAAACACACAGGGAATACTCGAAATAATGTTATTTGAGCAGGAAATGGAGCCGTTGCCTTGATGTAGTACTGGCGACTGATTTTCATAGAAATGTGGATTCATGTAATTTCGCAAAACGACCGGTTCATGTATATTTCTTTACTCTAGACAGTCTAGACGCTGTATGACTCAAATACTTCAGCCGCAACGTAGATTTCGTTATTGTTAATGTATTTAAAATCTCTCTCTCGCAATTTTACCTTAACGACGTGTTAAGATAGTTTTTATTTTCCTCTTTTTTTCACTGTTTTTTTTTTTAACAGAAGTCTCCGCATATTCGTCGAAGTAATAGCGGTGATACGTATAAATGTTTCACGATATTGCCTCCGGATCTCCCGGTCGCCGCAAAATTTGATTAACGAATCCCCTGAATTTTCTCTAGCGGGAACATCACCGTATCTGAAGTTCCGTATGACGGCTCTACGACGAATTATTAATGGTGCCGTAGAATTACCAGTGTTTCGCGCGATTCTCCAACGGTTGCCTGCAACGAGATTCATTCGTTGAGTCGCATCTACATATTTCGCGCGTTTTGCTCCACGGAGACCGTCGAAAGCGAGAAAGAAAGAAAAGGAAGGAAGGAGAGAGAAAGTGGTGAAAGAGGAAGGGTACAGCACGCGTGTGTCATTTCGCATAGATTATAATTCCATCGACGTACGTACGAAATAAAATTACGAGCCGCGCGCGCGATATATTCTGAGGCGCGCTTTATCGATCGGGATACGTTGCAACTGTGGCGCTAATTGCAATTGACGATTAATAATTAACACCTACGTCCGTAATCCGCCGCGAAATAATGTATCGCGCCCGATGAGAGACGACCGATGCGACAAAAAACGATTGCGCGATATGACGTTGCATCATTTCGCAGATTCGTGCATATCATTAAAAACCAGTACTCGATATGTTTTATATATATATTTTTTTTCTAGCGACCAGTTTCTAATGTATCCAACAATAATAAATTAAAAAAAATAAATATAAAACAAATATAAATGACACATTTCGCATTTTTATTTATTTATTGTTTATCTTATTTATCTTTTATTTACATTCACATTTTTATTGCTTATTTTTTATAATTGTTCATTTTTAATTTTTACGTTTACTTGACTGTTTAATTTTTTATTTTTATGTTACTTCAAAATAAAAATTCTTAAATTAATTTATTACGTTTTTTTTTGTCATGGTTTGTCATTACGCGATTCTACGAAATGTAACACAGTTTTTTAAGCGTTAATTTGATCTTGTTCTAATCATTGAAATTGAAAGGCTTTTTCTTATGGCAAATGATCATCAGTTGTATTATTTTCTCTCTCTCTCTCTCTCATCCATCATGTTTTCACACAAACACACACACATCTATCCACCCATACCCACCTGCATCCACACACCTTCGTACATTTGTATCACTATTATGTACATATACTATATAATCTGAGTAATTTCTTCATTGTATGTTATGATTATATTATTACTCTTAGGCCCAGATTTTTATTGGCTGATTAACTTGTGGTTGAGCTTAATCTTGCGATAAAGTAAAAATTGTATTTTTCTATCTACATATAAATAATTAATTAAACTATATAAATAATTAATTAAATTATTAACTAAACTGATGGTTTTGTAGTGAATAATTTTTAAAGTTATCATTACAAAACCACTAGTTTCACCATTTAATGATTAATCATAGCTAGAAAAATTAAATCACAAGTTAATCAGATAATCGGGCCTTTTATATATTATTAGAACTATACAAGTTCTTATTTCTAAATAAAAATAAAATCTTGAGGGAATATTGTTTCAGTGTGCGTAATAAATAACAATTTCTCTTTTTCGTTACTTGTATGTTTTTGTTCTTACACTTTTCTTTTATTTTTATATTTTAAAGGGCTTGTTCTAGAGAATTATAATAAACGCGCATCTGTCTATCTATCTATCTCTTTCTTCCTGTATTCTTACCTCTATCCGATCGTCAATCAAGCTTAATTTAGAACGTATTCTTTATTTTCTGTTTTGCTTACCTTTTACTTCATGCCTTTTTCCTTCTTTGTTTTAGAATTATAATAAACGATCATTTATCGACAATGACGTTTCATTTGACATGTTCCTTGTCTCTTCCGAAGTTCGTCAATGTTTATCTCGGGTGAAGATCAGAAAATGAAAAAACTGGATAAGAGGCAAAAAGGTAAGAAGTAAAAAGTGATAAAAAGGCAGATAAATAGGAAATAAATAGTAAATTGTAGATTAGGTTTTAGACATAGCTCGTGGAGCGCGCGAAATCGCAACTGGGTTCGCGCGCGCATCCCGCCCGATCTTGCGTGGGCGTCGCGACGTCACGCAGCACGCCGGCTCGGGCGTGTGCGGACGGTGGCGGGCGGTTGCGAGACGCCTCGCGCCGCCGTCTCGCAGTAGGCGACGCGACCTCGGCTCGTCAGGATCGTGTGGTTGATTTACGTGAGGTAGCGGGGATCATGCCGGTCTCTATACGTACAACAGTCTCGGCGAATTAAGAGAAAAAGACAGGCCGTAACGTGCCACGTGTCGCTACGACGGTTTGGCGCGACGTCCCGTGTCCTGCCGTCTCCGTTCGGTTACGCGATCGGAAGTGCGCGGCGACTGAAAAAGATGACACAGTCCCGCGGTAAGGAGAGACGCGCGTCGCACGACGATAACCACCAGCGTGACGGTCCGAGTGTAGTAGATTGATATACGTATGCGCGAGAAGAGAGAAAAATAAGTGGGTAAAGTGCTGGAAGCAATCTACGACTCTTTCAAGTCGTCTTCGAGAAGTACGGGCAGTGCACGAGACGCGGGAACGGATCCCTCTGGAGCCGCAGGAACAGAAAGCGAAGGGTGGACGAGTGAGTGTCACGTAAGGGAGGAAGAAAAGCTTAATGTTAATTGGCTTCTCTGTTGCGATAATCACGCACTTCGTACGGTGACGTAATTGCGATCGCGAGCGTGAGAATAACCGACGATATGCATGCATTTATACGGGGCGACGATACGACAATTATATTAGAAATTTAAAAAGGAAAATTAAAAAGAACAGAGAGAGAGAGAGAGAGAGAGAGAGAGAGAAAAGGAACGATAGGAGGAAGCGATGCGATTATATTCCGATCCTGCGGGAGGCAAAGAACCGAATAGTTACGACCGCTAGGAAGCCACCGTAGATTCTCCCCGTTGCCCGTCTGACTCCGCACGACCTTTTCCACTTTCGACTATCTCCCTGGACTGCGCGCGAGCATTCTTCCACGTTGATATGCGAGCCAGCCATATATCTTGGCGGTTTTCAGGTCGTTAGCGGCGCAAGGGGTAGACAGGACGATGAAGGAGAGAGGGTGGAAGGGAGGAAGGGAGGGCAAGCGGAAAACGCGCGAGATTCTCCCCCGAAACTTTCCAGGATATCCCGTTTTACATGAGGACAGAAGCTTCCTCGGACGGGAGCAATCGGCCACACCGCCAACGACCCCGTTCCTCGTCGCCCGCGGTTCGTGTCAACATAACGATAAGTTAAATTTCCGGAGAGTTTAAGTTGGCTCGTTCGACAAGATTACAGTCGTTCGTCCGCTTGATTAGGATTGTCGTAAACTAACGACCACGATCCGTTTGAGTTGTAAGAGCTGTTTACCGGAGAGATTACCGACACGAGAGCTCTCCATATTTGCATTCGCGAATGTAGGTTCACGTTATTTTCGTATGCTGCGAACTTCTTTTACAAATCGAATTCTCTCTCTCTCTCTCTCTCTCTCTCTTTTAGATTTGTCGATATGGAGCAAAAATATCGACCATAAATACATTCGTCAATTCAAAAACTATATTCATCTTGAATGAATAGATATTATATCGAATATATCGAGTAATAAACAAATTTTTCGTTCCGATTGCATTTCATGCAATCTCAATCTTCAATATGTAGTCTGATACAGCATTTTCCATTGGAAAAACTAGTGCAATACTGGTGCATACTGAGTGCAATTAAATTTAAATCAATTCACATATTTTCAATGTTGATAAATAATTTAGTCTCTCTCTCTCTCTCTCTCTCATTTTTTCCTTCTTTGTTGCATGCTCGCACGATAACAGCACAAAAATCACAAGTCATAGCTAGTCTTTAAAACATTCGTGTAATTTGAAAAAGATCGATCGAGGTGCGCACCCTTGACGATCGTCTCGAGAACAGCTACGAGCTGCCGTAGCCGTCGCCGTCGTACTGTTTGTAAACAGCATCGATCGACAGTTGCCCGGTTTAATCGGATCAGCGGCTAATCCGACCGTCGACGCTCGCTAAACGTTACTTCAATTTTTTAGCCCGCCGCTTAATGCTGCCCGCAAATCGTCCATCAATCGCGTGATTGCCCTTTTTTCATCTCTCTCTCCCCCGATTTCCCCATCGAACGCAATTTATTTGCTTATCCGTTTACTCGGAGCTGTTTCATTTGGGCAAGCTCGAGTTCTTCTCACGGTGTATTTTAGTCTTCGAACACGTCTTTAAATACTGGAAGCCTGTACTGCGCCAAGGCGGTAGTTTAATCCTTCGTGGGCACAATGGGATCTTTTTGAGCCAGGCCAAATTTCACTGTCAAATTTCTTGGCACAAATTTAAATTTTTATTAACCTCTTCAGATTTAATTTTATTGGGATCATGTTAACAAAGAAATTTTTTAATTCAAGAGCACTTTAATAAATAATTCATTAATTAATTTTTTCCTAGAACAAATTTGGACAGAAAAATCCAGACTGCCTACGGAATAAGTAAAAATATATGTGCCTAAAGATAAATTTTGGGTAATAAGTAAATACAGAAGTATATACAAATATATACAAACTTACATCTTGTATTATACACATTGATCCTATTTGCGCTTCTGTTTTATTATCTCTCATCGCTATTATATTACTAATTTTAATTTTCGACTATGATGGGATTAGATTTACGATGTTTCTTTGGTTCAATAATATTTTGTAATTATTCAATTTGACAATTTTAATGATTTATTGTAGAGCGACATTATTTGGTTAACAACTTGTTAGTATATTATTAGCGCCGAGAGGCACTACCGTGTCTCCTGATATTGAAGAAGACCCAAGTTGAGAGTCGAAAATGGTGTATTTAATTTCGCATAATATACTTTCTACACATGTTCATCTGTGTCGGTTTTTATAAGTTTCATTGGATTTTTTTGAAATATATACAATATATTGATATGTTTCAACAGATATTTGAATTTCGAAAAAGAGATAGGATAAATTGAAGGATACATCTTCTGATTATCGCATTAAAATATTTTCTAGAATCTTTACATCTGATCAATTTTGTGATGTCACATTGTATTTCTCTCGTGCTACGTAAGCTGAATCTTCGAGATCTTTTCACCATCACAGGCACAAGAGATCACGAGGTTAAGCTGTCCGACAGTTCGCTAAGAGTTCGTCCCATCGATCGTTGAAAGTTTCCCGCGAGATCGGCCGAAAATCAGAGAAGCTTTTAACCCTCTCGATCTCACAGAATGACAGCGCGAAGTGCTGCTGGCCAATGTGCCAATCTGCCGATGTGCTAATAATAATTGGAGAACACACACGAGTTTCATCGTAACACGTCACGATTGTCTCAATATCGCGATATCATTGCGACGTATAAATTCTACAATGTTTTAAGGATGTGTCACATCTCAAAACGTTACTGAAAACATAAAAATTTCATAAATTGTTTTATTATTACGCCTGAGTATTTGTATAAAATTCGAGCATAATTTTCTTATTGGTTTAAGTTTTTTAATTTTTTTGTTAGTAAAAATAATTTTAATTCTTAAGTAAAATTGTAATAGTTATTTGCAAATTTGGTAAGGTCATGGTTACGAATTAAATCAAAAATTTTTTATATACGTATAGACTAATAAAACTAATAAATATTCGTGCAAAGTTTCCTTGGATTTATTTACTCATTTAAAAATTATTTACCTAAAACTGGCAGCAAAAAATATGATCATTTCATTATATAAAGTCATTATAAGCCAAATCATTTGTTTCGTTTTTTTTTTGCGACTGGTATCAGAGTATATTTATGACAAAAATTTGTAAAATTTGTTGGCTAATATTAGCTTGATATTGACTTTTTTATAGTTGAATTTTTGGTTGATATTTTTAGCTGGTATATTATTCATCCAAAACATCCTTAAGATAAAGTGCCTAATATGAGATAGATTTTAATAATTAATATGGAATAAAAAGAAACAGAAAAATAACTGAAAAACGCTGTCGCGGAATAAAATTTTATAATTTTATTCCAATTTTAAAATAATAAGCTAATCTAGACCGTTATATGAATAAATTAGATAGGTAAGAAAAGAGTCAATACAGACAAGACTAGATTTTGGTACTTGATATTTTTATATGTAAATTCTAAATATATCTTTCAGTTATATAAACTGGGCGTCGCTTATTGTTAGACTTGAAACACAATCATAAACTAAGCTGAAATAATAATCATAATTAAATTGATCGTCGATTTAATAACGATGCTATTAACATTTTAAATTACTGTAAAGAAACTTCTTGTGCAAAATAAACAACTTTACAACATCATCACTCTTGAAGTATTAATTATTATTTTTGCTTATAATATAAAAGAATACTAAATAAAGACGACGTTCCGTTCTGAATAAGAATTTAATCTCTGGAAAATGGATCGATGATCGCGCAATCGCTCGACGCTCTCAACTGTGGTTTTGCTTTCCAAAGGATTTCGTTCATCTCGTTTTCCTCCGTGCGAAGTTGTATTCATAAACTTGGCCTATCGGCCCGGCGAGTCGCCTCCCTTTCTCTCGAGTGTCAAGGGTCGAACCGGGATTTTGTGGGCACAAAGCCGCCCCTGCTGTCTGCCGGACGGCGGAAAGCACTTATTCCATGGAGAACGGTTTCCGGCGCGGCTATTATACGCGCGATCCTTCGCGTCGCTTCGAACGCGCGATGCGAATATTGTTCATCGATTCTCCCGGCCACTAATTTGTCAAATTATTCTCGCCCTCGAGAAAGGCACGCTCGTTAGCGACTTGGGCGTAAATGGACGCTCTCGCGCTCATGGCGTACGCGTGTCACGGAAGACGACGCGATTAAATTAGGGCCATAATTCGTCGAGATTAATTTTCGGTGATGCAAACACGCCGCACGGCAGATTTCCGTGGAGAGCGCGAACCGCTACGCGTTAATTTTTCCCGGATTTCGCCTGGGATTTTACAAGGGAATAGCTAACTCTATTTTCTGTGAGGGGCGCAAAAAAAAGCGTTCTTTTCGCGATTATGAGAAATACAACTACGAGTCGAATTATTCTAATCACATGTCGTACGTTTATCTTTTACTATTTTCTACCATCTCTCACATATATGAGAGAAAAAAAAGTTGTAATTATCATAATTTAATTATAATTTATAGTCATTTTTTAGAACTATGTATTTATAATTGTTTTAATTATGCAAATATGGTCATTGTACTATTAATAAAAGTCTCACACACACTGTTGAAAATCTTCAGTTTTTCCTTAACATATTTTTTAATTATTATTACCATATAAATAGTAAGTGAATTTAAGAGAATAGTTGCCTATATTCACTATAATTGCAATTACATTTATTGAATAAAAATGTTTATTTTGTTCACCATTTATATCTTAATATTTTATTACATTAATATTTTTGAAGTTATCATAATTTATAGTAAAATTTGTTCATATTTGAGAGAACACTCACATTGAAAAAAAAGATTGGCTGCTGCAGCCAATTAAAAATGCTATGCCATATTTTACCATCTAATTTGCTGCAGCAGCCAATCTTTTTTTCAGTGCACATATATATGATTATTATTA